CACACCACCATCCACCCAGATGGTGAAGACAAAAAAGAAGAGTCACTCTTGATTCTTCTCTTTCGCTCCTCCTCCTCAAGGCATCCAAATTACAGGAAGCATGTAGCTTCTCTTCGATGGCCCATCTGGAGGCCTACACTCCTCTCCAGCTCTGCTGTTCCCATGGTAGTAGGCTAAATAATGGCCCTCCAGATATGTCCATGTGCCAGTCCCCTTGTGAATGTGTTAGCTTATAAGATAAAAGGCAGATGTGGTTGCAGTTAAGAATCTTGAGTTGGGGAGATTATCCTGGATTATGTGGATAAACTCAATTGAATCACAAGGGTCCTTATGAGAGAGAAGCAGGAGGATCAGAGTCAGAGACAGAGAGAAGATGTAAGGATGGATGCAGAGATCAGAGGGTGAGAAGATACTACCTTGGCTTTGAAAATGGAGGAAGGGGCCATGAGCCAAGAAATGCCGGTGGCCTCTGGAAGCTACAAAAGCCAGGGAAACTGATGCTCTCCTAAAGCCTCCGAAGGAACACAGGCATGTCAACATCTTTTTTTTTCTTTTTAAAGATTTTTATTTATTTATTTGTCAGAGAGAGAGAGCACAAGCAGGGGGAGCAGTAGAGGGAGAGGGAGAAGCGGGCTCCCCACTGAGCAAGGAGCCTGATGTGGGACTTGAGCCCAGGACCCCAGGATCATGACCTGAGCCAAAGGCAGACGCTTAATGACTGAGCCACCCAGGTGTCCCCAGGCATGTCAACATCTTGAGTTTAGCCCAGTGAATTTGATTTTGGAATTCTGACCTCCAGAAGTGTAAGATAATATTTTTGTGTTGTTTTAAGGAAATAAGTTGGTGGTGGTTTGTTATAGCAGCAATAGGAAAGAAGTCCACTATTGTAGTCTAAGACACCACCACCATCTCTTGCCTGCACTACTGCAATAGAATCCTAACCTGTCTCTCTGGGTCCGTCTTTTTCTTCTCCTTTATTGTGGCAAGAACACTTAACATGAGATCTACCCCCTTCGTAGATTTTTGAAGATTTTATTTATTTGTTTGTTTGTTTGTTTGTTTATTTGAGAGAGAGAAAGAGTGTGTGCATGAGCAGGGGGAGGGGGAGAGGCAGAGAATCTCAAGCAAACTCTGTGCTGAGCATAGAGCCCGATGTGGGGCTCAATCTCACGACCCTGAGATCATGACCTGAGCAGAAACAAAACCAAGAGTTGGACGCTCAACGTACTAAGCCACCCAGATGTCCCTTCACAGATTTTTAAGTGTACAATACAATATTGTTAGCGATAGGCACAATATTGTATAGCAGATCTCTAGAATTTATTCATCTTGTATACCTGAAATTTTATGCCCATTGGTTAACAACAACAACCCATATCTCTTTCCTCATCCCTGGCCACCACCCTTCTACTCCCTACTTCTGGGAGTTCAATTGTTTTAGATGTCTCATATAAGTGGAATTATTCAGTGTTTGTCCTTCTGTGATTGGCTTATTTCACTTAGCATAATGTCCCATGTTGTCAAATATTGCAAAATTTCCTGCTTTTTAAAGGCTGAGTAATATTCCACTGTGTGTATTCTCTAAGTCCATTCTTGACTCCCCATACATCTTCCCCACAGCAGTGTGGGTGATGATCTCAAATCCCCGCTCAAAACCGTCCAATGGCTGGCTTTTCATCCATATGCAATAAAATCCATACTCCTTGCCTTGGATTACAAGGCCCTTGATGGCCCTGGCTACCTGTCCAGCTCTTTTGAATTGCCCTCCCCTTGTCCACCTCTCCAGCCACTCTGGCTCTAGGGACTTGGTGGTAGTCATTCCCACTACCTAGAATGCCTGCTCTCCCAGGTAGCCAACTGTCCCTTTCATGTCTTTCAGATCCTAACTTTCTGGTTTGTCTTCACTAGACTTTAGACTTGGTGTGAGTGAGGACAGAAAGTATGTGTTGCACCTAACGTGGAATAGTTGCTCCATAAAAAGAGAGAGCGACCTCAAGAGAGTATAGGCAGGGAGTGCCTCTCAGTGGTGTCTTGTTAGCTGGGGTTTGTATTCTTTTTAGAGAGACCCGGGAAAAGGATTTCCTATCCAGTTTTGCAAAAGATTGTTTTCTGACTTCTTTGGGTAAAGAGATGGGTGGGGTTATGGATAGAGAATTGAGTCTATTTTGGAAAAGGCAGATTGATACCTGACTTCACATGTTTTCAAAATACCATGTCTTCTATTGGTATTTTGGTTCTGTCCCTCCTTACTAGAAAATTCAGTATCACCTAGCAAGAAGAAACCAACTTCCAACAAATAATTTTCAGGATGAAAAATTTAGGATTGCGGTAAAGAGAATTTAGCAGGCCTCTGCCAGCAGAGGGGGTATAGCTCAGTGGTAGAGCATTTGACTGCAGATCAAGAGGTCCCCGGTTCAAATCCGGGTGCCCCCTTGGCTACCTTTACTGTTTTTCACAGTTGTTCAGGTATAACCCGGACTTCTATAGGTCCTAAATCCGAAACTCTTTGGAATCCTGGTCTCTTCCACTTGGCTGATTTCCACCCCCCAGGTACTTGTTCCTTGTACCTGAGAAGCAAAGAGCAACGCCCCAGAGGTTGAACAGTGATTATTGCCCTGTCCAGTCTTACGGTATACCTCAACTCAGGGGCAAGAAGCCCACTGTGGGTAAAAAAGGAAGCACCAGACATTTTTCATCTCTGAGACAGTTTGAGATCTATTGGTTTAATGTTAATTATAGTTTTCTTTTTAGGTTAACAATGGAGTGCCTGGTGGAGAAGGGGCGGAGAGGGAATATTATTTAGCCTAGTTCATACTCTGAGAAGACTAGAACAGAATCCAAGTTCAGAAGGTTTATCTACGTGGTTGAGAAGTTTAAGACCCAGCACAAATAGAAGAATGGTCAAAAGTAGATGGCTTTCTCCTTCTTTATGTTAGCTCAAAGGGAGGGCTTTGGCCTGATAAAAGTGCAGGTGGCAAATCTGAGGCCTACTGTCCAGAAAAGGGGTGAAAAGCTAGCTATTCCCTGGGATTGGGCTTTGCACCCCGACAGTGGTTCTGCTCAGTCTCCATGCCCAGGCTTCTGACGCCTCTCACAGTTATGAGAGCCATGGGGAAAAATGCACTCAAGTATTCCCCAAGGGCTCCAAAGGATGACACAACCAGATTCCGGGTTTAAAATATCACAGCTGCCCCCTGACCCAGGCAGCATGAATCTCCCTTTCTCCTTTATTTTTCCTTTTTTTGGGCAAAATCTAGTCGAGGGGGATGCCCTTGCTGCCTTCACACATTGTTTCCCTGTGGCCCAACAATGTTAACTGTCAGGAAGCCAACAGGTATCTGTCCCACCTTTAGGTTGTGAAACACAATTGCCTCCTATTACTAGTTCAGTGGTTCTCGAAGTGTGGCCCCCTGACCAGCAGCAGCAGCAGCGCCCAGGAACTGGTTACAAATGCAAATTCTTGAAGTTCCACTCCAGGCCTACAGAGTCAGAAACTGGGGGTGTCTCAACAAGCTCCTCTGGTAATTCTGGTGCACGCTCAAGTTTGAGAGTCATTGCCTTAGTATATATCAGTTTGCATCCGGATGTAACTTTATTTTTGTAAATTAAAATGAGCCTATGGGTGTGAATTCGCCATTTTAACATTCTTGAAGGGCTTTCACTCTGCCCGTGTCATGAGCAAGAGGGAAGGGTGAACACGACAGGTCCATGACACCTTACTTAAAAAAGAAAGTTGAAGTTGGGGAAAGGTTGTGTTTGTGGGTTTCCCTCTCTTGACCATCCACCTCCCCTATCGGAAACGGAAAGCCAAGTTGGGGGAGTAATCTTGTCCTCTGACCCGGGCGCCTCGAACTGCCTGACACTCCTGAGGTTGCTGGCGGTGGCCGCAGAAATCCCGACAAGTCTGGCGCGGATAATAGGGAACTGCAGCTTTTGAACATGGTTTGTGCGCGCACCCACACCTCCTCCTTTTGCTGGGTACAAAGCAAAATCAAAAGCTCTTTGCTAAGGTTGAAAAATGAGGAAGGCATTTGTAAGAATTCGACTTTCGGTTTTCTTTTTAACCTAGGATCCAACGTTCAATAGTAAATCCAATTTATTAAATGCTCGTGTCAGAGTGAAGGAAAAACCACGAAGGGGGCACCCGGATTTGAACCAGGGACCTCTTGATCTGCAGTCAAATGCTCTACCACTGAGCTATACCCCCACGCCACTGCCGCTCCTGGACATGACTCTTTGGGTACTAAAACACTGCTACACTGAGGGTAGGAAGTAAAAGTAAGGGGAAAGGAATGAAGAAAGGGGGCCAAGCGGAGACCAGAAGGTGTCCGGACCCGGAAAACCCGGGAAAGCCGCAAGGCAGAGCGCGGGGAAGGAAGAACTAGCCGGGGCTGCGAGGCGCCGCGTCCAGGCTGTAGGGACGGCTTCCGCCCTACAAATGTGGGAAAGGATGTGGGGGAAGGGAGGCTAGCTGAGGGGCGGGGCGGGGCAGGGGCTTCCCGTTCCGTCCGCAGGTTCAAGCCAGGTATCGACCCGCACAAAGGAAAGTCCCCGAATCTGGTGAATCCAATCCGGCGTTCGGGAGGATTCCAGCCCCACCCTCGACGGGTGCGAGGGGTTGGCCCGCCTCCCGCAGCCCGGGCGCCCCAGTTGTGCGGCCAGACCGGCTCCGCGCCGCCTCCAGCGCCAAGAGGTCCCTGGCCTCCGGGCGCGCTGCTCGTGGGCACCTTCGGCCGGAGAGCGCCGGGGTACTGGGGACCCTCGGGACGCACCTAGGCGCGCGCCTCCGGCCCCGCCGCCCTCCCCGGAATCCGCCCCCGCGTAGCCCCACGTCGCCCGGGAAGCGCGCCGCTCGCGCGCGCCCTTGCCCGCGCCCGCGGCGCGTCCCCGCCCCGGTGCAGCCCCTCCTCCCCGCTGTGTTTATTAGGGGAAGGAGGGCGGAGGCGGAGGCCAGTTCTCCAGCTCCAGCCGCCGTCGCCGCTCCCTCTGTAGTTGCAGCCGCGGCCGCCTCCCGCCAGCTCGCTCCGGGGAAAGAGAACGCGCGCGAGCTCGGGCGTCCCCGCCCCAGCCCTTCCCGGAGCCATGAATCCCAACTGCGCCCGGTGCGGCAAGATCGTGTACCCCACGGAGAAGGTGAACTGTCTGGATAAGGTGAGCCCCGGGATCCGGAGGCGCGTCGTTGCAATCCCCGAGCTATGCTCGGGATTAGGGGTGGAGAGAAGGGCCGGGTCGGTGCCGCCTCATCCCCGCCATCCCGGGAGGAGGAACGGAGGGCGGTGTCACGGGGTATGGGGACAGACCCCAGTCTGGAAACCGGGAGATCTGCGGCGCGGCAGGGAGTCCACGCGTGGCGGCAGCCACTGCTGGAGAATATGGGCTCTGTGCCCTGGGGCTGGGAGGACGGAAGAGGAGTAGGGAGGCCAGGCCCCGGGGTGGGGGGGTGGGGGAAGGTTAGGGGTGCAGTCCCGCCCCCTAGGGCCGGGAGAGTGAGAGGAGACGGCCGCTCCCTTTCCCCGCCGCGCTGAGCGCCAAGTAGGCGGAAGCGCGGGGCGCTGGGCGGAGGGGGAGGGGGAGGGGGAGGGGGAGGGGGCGGCGGGGGGGCGGGGCAGAGACTGGGGGGCCCAGCGAAACCCGCAGCTCTGGCCGCAAATGGCCGGACTTCATGGCCTGGAGACCCGGGGCCGGAGCTATCAGCCGGCCAGTGTTGCATCTGGTGAACTGGGCTTCGGATGAGGACCCAAGCCTCACTGCGAGACCCCCTTTTTTTGGACGACCTGTACTCCCCTCGGTGGTTCCGCGCTTAATAGACTAGCAGACCTCCTCCATAGCTTCCCAGCCCCCACCTTAAATTAGAAGCCAACTCCCGGGGCTGGGCCGCCCTGCCAGAGCGGGGCGGGGTCGGGTGCTGGAGTAGGGTGGATGGGGGGTGCTTTGCAGAGATCTCCTGAAATTGTGCTCAGAGCCTGAGACCGGCTTGTAGAACAAAGAGCTAACTTTTCAAAGCAGGTTTCCCCAATGAAGGGTGGGGTTGGCTGAGTTCTGGGGAAGCCCAGAAAAGGGGGGGGTGTTAGGGAGAGGGGAAGGTGGCCTTCTGGAAATTCACGGTCCCCTGGGGGCCCTTACGCATCGTCCTCCCCCCCCCCATCCGTGCTGTACTTATTCATCTGGTTGCTATTATACTTTTGGAGGGGGGTGAACAGTAGAACTGGGTGTTTCCAGCAGTTTCGGGTAGGATCCGGTCTTTTAAGCTTCCTAAGATCCTAATGCGATGCCTCCCCCTCCGCATCTTCTCCCCACTCTGGAGGAGAAGCCTCTGTGGTTTTGTCTCCTTTCCTTGTCATGCCTTTCACCCACCTCCCAAAGCTGACTCCACGTCCAAATATCCCCTCCTACCTGTCTGAACTGGTGGGGGTTGGGGGGCATGGGATGGAAGAGGGGTGCAGAGCCCTGGGGCCTGCTTCACTGAACACCTGGAGCCAGGTTTTGTTTGGGAAAGGATAGTTCATTGGATACTTTTTGTCTCTTCCTTCCCCCTTGGGATTGGAGCTTCCTCAGTGATCTTTAGCCACTGAGTCAGGGCAATGGGGTAGGGTTCCCAGGTCCTGAAATACACTTGAACTTCCTCTTGGAGGAAGGAGCTATATGGGGCTGTTGCTGTTTCGTTGTCTCTCTGGGCTGGGCAGGAGGAGAGGAGGGCCATATTGTGGGCACAAGCAGTGGGGGTGCTGACCTTCCCAAAGACCATGCCAGCTTCTGGAAGGCAGGACTTGAGCTTGGAGGCACTAGCTGAAGAACTAACTGTTCGGGGTTCTTGCCTTTCCTCGGTGGGAGGGATTTTGGCCTCTGCATTCCATGTGCCGCCCCCCCCCCCCATTCTCCATAATCATGAACTGGGAAGAGGCTGTGGGCTCTTTCACCTATATAAGGCAGAAGCAATATTTGGTGGAGGGTTTGCTTGGCCAGGCGTTGGGAGACTTGGTCCTAGTTCCAGGTCTGCTCCCACCAACTTTATGAATGGCTTTAGGCCTCAGTAGTCACCATCTGTCACATGGGTATGAATGATGTCATTTCCTTCGAGGTGGGGCAATGTACTGCAGTTGCTGCCAAAGTGCCTGGAAGGGAATGCGGTGTAGGCTGTGTCCTCCCTGTCTTTCTGGGATACTCGGTCCAGCCCCACACCCAGCTCCCTTATAAAGTCCTTTGGTGCTGTGTGCCAGAGGTTGGGGGACGGGTAGGGATCCTGCAAGATGCCTTCTCCAGGGGTTCTACATGCCCTAGCTGGAAGAGGACATTCAGGTGGGGTTGCCCTGGGAAGTGGGAGATGGTGATTTCTCCCTCTTTTTAGAGCTCTCCTTACAGGCGGTGGCCCTGGGGAGACCTCCCCGCCTCCACTGAGCAGGAGGCCTAGAATATTCAGGTGTCAGACCTGTTCCTCCCAACCCTCTCCAGACGGTAAGCACAGGCACTTGGACTGGGGGGGACCTTGTTGCCAGAGCACCGAGACCTGGGAGGGGGGGGCAGTCAGTCTCATGGGTGCGGCTGCTAACCAACTTCCGAGGCCTCCCATTTACTGTAGGAGAGAGTCAAATTAGACTCATTTCACGACGATTGCCCTGTGGTACATAGTTCACGATGTGACCCAGAGCACAAGCTCCGTCCTTGCTGTTAGCTTTTTCTCCTACCTGAGCCTTATCTCCCAAAGGCTTAGGTGGGTAAAGGCCGTGTCACCGCTGATGGCCACCCTGCCCCCAACCGGCAGCACCCAGCGTGCTGTGCTTGCTGAATAAATATATATCAATGATGATGGCGTTTGAGGAGGGAGGTCGAAATGTGCTTCCTCAGAGGACTTCTGGGCTTAGAGCTGGGGGAGAAATGCGGTGACCTCATTCGCTTGTTCATTCAACAAATATTTATTGAGCACTTGCTTTGTGCCAGGCTCTCTGAATGGCTGCTGCAGGGCCTTTGGGGAGGAGGGGAGTCTGTGTCCCAGAACGTCCTCTACATTTGGAGAAGGGCGGAGTTTTGTCCCGGACCCTGTTGGGGACGCATTTGTATCCGGGGATCTGTACTGTCGAGTACTCTCCCCTGGCTTCCTTTCCCAGGCCCCTGAAAACAGGTGGAGACCTTCGGGAAGGGTAGAGGATTGGTAGGCTACTAGCTCCCCTTGGAACGCCTCGTTGGGAGGGTGCTCTGCCTCTGGTGGTCTGAGCCACCCCCCCCACAGGGGGCAGCAAGGTAGAAGGTGGCTGGGCTAGACTAGAGAGAGAAGGCAAGTCCACGTGGCCGTGGTGCCCCACTTTTACAGCTGAAGCTGAGCGTACCCCACGATCGCTTGGTGGAAGCTGAGCGTACCCCACGGTCACGTCGTGATCATCTGTTCACAGTAGCTACTACTGACTGCAATGTACCAGGTTCAGTCTTCACAAAACAGATGTGATTGCTCCATGAATTATGAACCCCATACATGGAGGCTCAGACAGATCATGTGGCTCATTCCCTGCTCAGCCAGAGATGGAATTCAAATCTAAAGTGCTTTGTGCTCAGCGTTTCTGCCCGTTCTATGTTTGCAAAAGGTACTTTTATTTACACCGTCTCGTAGTGTCCGTAGTGGTCCACCTCTTCCTGACCCTGGCCTGAGGAATGTTCTGGGCCTGGGCTCCTGTGTGGAGCTGGGGCACTAGGAATAATAATCTCCCCCTGGAAAATTGGGGAGGTGCAGCCAAGGTCTATGCCTTTAAGCCGGCAGCCCAGGTGGTTGCCTGGGCTCGGATGGTGACCCCGGCCCGGCCAGGGGACAGCTGGTGTTGCTCCCGGAGGAGGGAGGCACTGTAACCCTTGGCAACAGGAAGGGAGGGAAGGGCTTCATCCTCCAACCCTGAGTCATGGCCACCCCGGGCAGCCTGGGTGCAGAGGACGAGGTGCCAGGCTGCAGGCACAGTGACCTGAGGTTCGCCGCATTCCCCTCCCCCAGAACTGTGAGAGCCGCTTCCCCCAGCTGCACAGTGATGCCGGAGAGAGGCTGGCCCAAGCCTTGACCACGTGTGGGGGATCTTGCTTCTGCCCCCACCAGCCTGCATTTGCCTTTCTATGGAGTGGGGCTTCCGAGGAATGGATGGAGCTCTGAAGGTGCAAGTGGAGGGGCCTTGTGGGCACTACTGGAGCCCAGAGACAGGCTGAGAGGCTTCTAACTGGCCCCCCCAATGTCTGGTTTTTGTGACGAGGTGAGGGAAACAGTGGACTTCCTGCAGGCAGCAGGAAGGATTAGAGCTGCATGCCCAGAGGTGCACTTTGCTCTCCTGAGGCTAGAGTCGCAGGAATGCATCTCTGAAATCTTACCTGGGGCCTCCAGGAAAGTGGGGGGGGGGGGAATCTTGCTTGCCACAGGGCCTGTGGGGCAGGGGAGGGAGGCAGACAGGTCATTGTGGGGCTGTACTGACTTAGTTCCCTGTGTCCTTCACCAGACCGATGGAAATGGGGATGGGGTGTCCTTCATCTTGGGATACCCCTGGGGTCCCCAGCCCCGGCTTGGGGCCCCCAGGGGCTGTTGGGTGAGTTGCCATCTTCTCCTCCCCCTTGCACGCCTCCCCCGCCCTTGCCCAAAGGGGACACAGTAGCCGGAGCTGCTGGATTTTCTTTAACCTTGGAGCCCTCGTCTAGAGGGGAAGCAGCTCTTGGCGCCGGGCTTGGAGCCTGCATCTGGGTCATCTCGTCCCTCCCACGCCCCCGCCCCGCACCTCTGTGAGACCACTCTGCAGATGGGGAGCCTGAGTTCAGTAGCATCGCTGGAGGCCATCAGTCCGCTCTCGTTTTCGTTACCCCGCTCCTGAGCCCCCTGTAAGGGAGCAGGGGACTACTGCCGGCCTCTCATGCGCCCAGCCGAGAGCATGGTGTCTCTGGGGCTGAGCGGGGGAAGAACTGCTGGTGGAAATGGGCCCCATCCCCTGCTGGGGGCTCCCTTTCCTCCAAAAGGCAGCTGGGAGGTCTCTTGTGGCACTCCCGTACCCCCAGCCCGGCCAGTATACTCTGCCCCCCTTCCTGAGGGGTTCGGCTCCTGGGCGGGGACCTGGCCATCTCCCTCTTTCCCTGTGTCTCCCCCAAGTCTATCAGGAGGCAGCTTTGGAGGTCCCCAGCCCTAGGACAGTGCGTATTCCTGCATATGTGTGTGTGTGTGTGAAAGTGGGTCATGGTCCGGATTCCAGAGAATGTTTTTCCTGGCAGGCCCCTGAGGGGGTGGGGGGAGGTGGAGGCCCAGGCAGGGGCCTGTGCAGCTAGGCAGGCAGAGGCCAGCAGACTGGGTGGTGACAGGGCTGGGGCACTCTGCCAGCACCTTCCAGGCATTGGCTGGGGGGAAAGGAGCTGTCACTTCGGGGGGGCCGATGGGGGGCAGGGACTACCCTGTTCTAGTTCTCCAGCCAGGTTGTGTGTGTGCTGGGGTTTTGTACTGGGAGCAGTCTGGGCTGAGCTCTGGGATAAGCCCAGATGGGGGTGAGGGCCAAGCTTAACACCAGCCATTCCTTTGCTTCCAGACTTCCAGCTGGCCTTCTTCCCAAAAGAGTGGGTCTCCTATCTTCATTTACTATTCCACCTTGGGCGAGTCTCCTTGATAGGGAAAGTACTCTGCGAGAAGGCGCTTACCCCCACATTATCCCCTGGTCTCTGGTTGAGGTGGGCCAGGGTGATATCCCAGCCTCTCAGCTTCCTTTTTTCTGCCCCCTCCCAAGTATCCCAGAGGTGCCCGTTGGCTGGGCAGCACGTTTATTTTTTATTTTTTTTTTAAAGATTTTTTATTTATTTATTTGAGAGAGAGAGAGAATGAGAGATAGCACGAGAGGGAAGAGGGTCAGAGGGAGAAGCAGACTCCCCGCTGAGCAGGGAGCCCGATGCGGGACTCGATCCCGGGACTCCAGGATCATGACCTGAGCCGAAGGCAGTCGCTTAACCGACTGAGCCACCCAGGCGCCCTGGGCAGCACGTTTAGAAGGGCACTGACTTGGGAGAATTCCTTAACAGGTGGCTGAGAGCCAGCTCTGTGCTGGGCACCTTCGGAAGTCTCCCCCTGGGCCCTTCCCTGGCTCCTGGCCTCCTCCTCTGAGGCGTCAGGAGTGTCTTCCTCTGACTGCTAGGAAATGGGGCAGAGGCAGGCCCACCAGGTCACCGGACAGCCCAGATTCTGGGGTCCTGGAAGCTGGACTCTGGGTCGGTGTTGATCCTGGGGCCTCATCCTGGGCTGCCGAGGGGCGTGATCTCTCGATCTCTGTCTCATTGGCGTGGGTTTGCCTGGGCATCACCATTTCTCAGGATGCGGGCACTTCTGTCACATCGGTCCTCCTTCCCTTCTGGTCTTCGATGCTCTTCCCCTCGACGGCCCCGCCCCATGGTTTGCTCCCTGGGTTTTGCTGGAGTCTTACCTGCCACTCATTCGCACACGCACTGTAGCTGTGGTTGGGCACGGTGGAGCCACCCCTGCTCCCCAGCACACACCAACCTCCACCGGGAGCTGCTGAGCCCCCTCGGCTGGGTTTGTACCTGTCGCGGTGCCCGGCACCTAACATTCGGGTACTTAGAGGGGCCAGGCACTGTGCTGAGTGCTTTACAGGTGATTTCTCATTTAGTGCTCAGTATTTGGTATTATTTTTACGTTCATTCTGCACACGTGGAAATGGCTCGGAGGCATGGGCCCTGACCGAGGAGCTCACAGGGCTCGTCCCCCGTGGGGCATACCCTCCAGGCAGAGCTCTGTAGTGCTTCGGAGGGAGGGGGGTGCGGGGGGGCCTCTCCTACCAGTTACCTGGCTGGGGCTGGAAGAAGGGTGAGGGAAGGTAGAAAGGGTACAGGTGTGGTGACCAGAGCTTGGGGCACCCCCCCACTCTGGTCACAGGGGCGGGGGGCCCAGGAGGCGGGAGGTGAGAGATGAACAGCCCCAGGGTAGGGGGGGCCCTGGAGTGGGAGTAAGACATGCCGGGCTTCCGGCCCAGGGCATGGCGGCTGGGACCCCCTCCGCTTCTCTAGACCTTGTCAGGGCTGAGGCGCTGCCCCTCCGAGTTCAGCAGCAGTGGCTTCTTAGCAACCCCGGTGCAGCTTTGCATCAGCAAGGAGGCTTCTCCGGCTGGGGGTGTGTGTTGGGGAGGCAGCAGGAGTGGTCTGGGGGCGATGGAACCAACCTGCTGGGGGCCTTTTTCTGCACTCACCCAGCCTGTCTGCCCGCCTTCCGCTCCCGACAGCTCCAACAGCTGACCGGTGGGGAGTGGGGAAGGGGAGGCGGGTGTCGTCAGCTTTCGGAGCCTGTGACTCGAGATGGCCCCGGATCACCCAGGGTGATGCTGTGATCCATCTCTGCGACGGAGTGCTCCTTCCTGGGGCTCGAGTCCCCCCTTCCCGAAGTCCTTGTGTCTCATGGCTCTCCTCCCTCTGCCTCTGTCCCTAGTTCTGGCACAAAGCATGCTTCCACTGCGAGACCTGCAAGATGACACTCAACATGAAGAACTACAAGGGCTACGAGAAGACCCCCTATTGCAACGCGTGAGTCCTGCCTCCCTCCCTCCTCCTTCCTCCTGTTCCAGGATGTTCCACTGCCGCACAATACCTGATAAGCACTCGTCACCTTTAGGCCTCACCTCAGCCGGATGAAGTAAGGGCTGCTGATAGGCCCATTTTACAGGCAGGGAAACTGAGGCCGGGGAAGGGAACGGACTTGCCAGATGACATGGCTAGTGAGGGGCTGGTTCAAACCCAGTAAGCATGCTTCTCTCTGCCAAGCAAGCCTGTTCCCTCCCCTGCGCTCTGCTGCAAGAGTGGGGCCCAGTGCGGCCCTTCAGAAGACAGTGCTTTGCCCTGTTGTGTTTGCCTTTCCTCATTTCTGTCTCTTCCTTGCCCCTGCCAGAGGGTCTGGGCCCTAGGCTTTGGGGGCTTCTAGCTCCAGCCCTTCCTGGTGTTCATCCCTTGAGAACCAGGGGCAACATGCAGGGGGCGCCTGGCCTGGGGGCAGATCTCTTTCCTCCCTTCCCGGTGAGGGAGGCTGTGGAAGGCTGTGGAATCCTTCATGTCTTTCCCAGTGGAGTTGGCTGGGGGTCTGTCCCTTCTGCACGGGAACCTGCAGCCCATCCTGCTGCGGGGTGGTAGGGAGAGGTAGGGTAGGACACCATCCAGAAGGACACCCCCTTCCCATCCTGTGCAGTTCCAGAGAGTATACCACCTGCAAGCTGACCTCATATGCAGCAACTGGAAACTCAGCGTGGGGGCCACTGCGTGTGCGGGACCTCACGCCCCACCTGCCAGGTGAGGGCTTCAGAAGGTCAAGTCACTAAGTAGTGGCAAAATCAAAATTCAGAAACATCCAGGATCTGACTTGAGTCCAGGCTTTTTCTCCGTCACGAGGCTCTTTGCCGCTGAAGTTCACCAAGGGAGGGAACACTGGGACTCAGCTAAAAGGGCTGGGGGCTTAAGCCCCGTTGAAAGGCTATCTCTCCCTTACAGCACCCCCAGTGCCCTCTGAACCCCACTGTGTCATCTACCTGGGGTTTGGACATCCATCAGGCATTTCCTGCCTGCTAGCTGCTCTCTGCCAGCCTGAGCCAGGTGCTGGCAAAAAGAGATTTCTGGAAGCACCTTGGACGTTGTCCCTTCTGGGAGGGACTGGGGCCCTGGGAAGGTTGCCCCCCCCCCCCCCCCCCGGGGAAGAAGGAGGGTCACAGCTCTGTCCTGGCTCCTCCTTCAGCTACCTCTGCTCTTCTATTAGCTTCCACTGATGTCTTCCCCCTACCAACCCCTCCCACCCCCCCAAGGGAAATGGGACATTCTTAGAATTCTTAAGGGCTCACACAAGCCCTGATTCTCTGCCACTTCCTCCCTCTGTTGGGGAGTGGGGTGGGGTTCAGTAAAGCCAGAGGCCAGGGGCAGTGTAACCCCTTCGTGGCTGAACCACGCGAAGCTGGATGCTGGGCACCGAGGCTCCTTTGGGGGCAGCTGCTGAGCCTCTGCCCCTCCAGGCAGAAATGTGGCTGAGCCCGGAGCCTGGTGTGGGTGGCAGGGACTGATGCTTACTTACGTCTCTTCCTAAGACTCTAGTAGCCTAGAATTCAGTGAGCATTGGGAGTTGGTGAAAGAAGTCAGAGGCTTGTCCTTGTTTTTTCTGCATTTTCTCAGCCTGGTGTCAGAGTCCCAGCTTAGCTGTTCTACCCTCTTCTGGGGAGGGTGCAGCAAGTGGGGCTGGGGACTCCTGCAGGTGTTGGGGTCTCCAGGGAAGGCAGAAGATGAAGCAGCTCTTCCCGGATGCTGCTTCCCAACTGCCCAGGCAGAGAGGTTCCTGTCTCTCTCCTGGCCCCTGGCCAGAGAAGCAGGTTGGCCCCTTGTTCCCCCAGCCTTTATAGCCCTAGCCTCTGCCCGGCCCCATTGACCTTTGGCCCAGCTGGGGTGTTATCTAGGGAGGACTCCGAATGAGAATGAGGGCGGAAGCCTTGGTGGATGTGTGGCCCCCCGCTGTGTCTCACTGTGTCTCACTTCAGCCAGGAGTGTGGAGAGTTGCACCTTGCCCAAGGCACTCACTCCCTCAGCCGGGCTTCTGCTGAGCAGTGGGTCTGGGCCCGCCAACCTGACCTGGTGAGTCCAGAAGGAGCCGGATGTAGTAGGCCTGGCCTGCAGGGAGTATCCTCTGGACCTGTCCAAGCTTCAGGTTCTCCACGGTTACGAATTCCTCCCCAGGGATGCCGGCCCCTAAACCAAAGAGGATGAGCCCCTGCCACGTGCCAGGCCCTGTGCTGACGTCCCCTCTCATTTCCCCCTGTTCCCTTTCTGCCTCTGGCCCCATCCTCCAGTGGCATTCAGGTTCTTGAATCTTGGGGTTTCCCAGGGTGTAGCTGTGCCCCCACTCCCCTCCTGGCCTTGCTTTGTAGACCTCAGGCCTGGCTTCCTTCCTTCTCAGCAGTACCTCCTGCTCAAGACCCAGAGGGGCTGGTGATCTCTCCCGGCACTTTGCCAGGGAGTTGGACCCCCTCTGTGGGGGAGGGCGTGAGTTTGTTGTGCAGGGAGGCTTCTGTGGTGTGCCTGTTTCTGGCCAGTCCCTGAGCCAGGATCTGGCAGAGCGGTGGTCAAGAGAGAAGAAGGCTGTCTGTCATTCCCCAGTGGCTTCTCAAGACTGAGATTTTAAAATGTTCTAGAAAGTGACTGTTAAGCAGCAAAAAGGCCTCTTCTATTTCTCTTCTTGCACCAGACTTGTTTTGGGGTTAGGCAGCAGAGAGAACAGGCTAGAGCTCATAGCCAGCCTGCTGGGCGGTCATGGACCCCCACAAACATGCCCTTAAACACACGCCTGGTGCGTATCCAGGCACACACGCTTGGATGTGGGGCCGGGGAGAAATGCCAAGGAGTCAGACTGAATGGGCGGTGTGTGTGTGTTCCCAGTTCCCAGGCACAGCCACCCGGGCATTGCTGTGACTAGGTAGAGGTGTGTCTTTCGGCTTGTGTACAGTGGCTGGTGGTATAAGAACCACCTTCAAATTCTTCCGCGAAACTTCCAGGTAGGTGGGGTGAGCCTGCTTGCTCCCTTGGTTAGGGGAATTTTTTATGCCCTCGATTATTTGTTTTGTAAACTATGTTTTGTGAAAGTGGAGCTCATGTGTCCACACGCACAAGCCTGCCCCTTTGTCTCCATGCAAATAGTCTAGGAGTGTGGAGGTCAGGGGTGGGGTGGGGGTGGGGAGAAGTGAGACCGGTCGTTCCCTCCTCCTTGGAGGCCAGGAGTTAATGGAGTTAGGCTGTGCACCCCAGGCAGAGATTCAGGCCAGGGGAACCAGCTTTTGGGGGTATCAAGTGTGGGGGTGGACATAGACCGGGGAAGGAAGGGGGGGACATTCAGATGCACCTTCCCCCTCTTCACTGAATACAGATTGCCAGATCCATCCTTCAGTTTCCTTGAGCTGTGTGGTGGGGGGCTGAGGACAGTGGAGATGGCCCAGGCTCCGGAGAACAAGGGACTATCATCCTGCTCCTTCCCTCAGGTCTCAAGAGTGTGGGGTGGGGTCTGTGCTGGTGGGATTGGGGGCTCAAAGTGTCTCTGGATTCTAGCAAACTGTCTCGAATCCCAGCTACTCTTAGGGATGGGGCGTTGGTGGGTAAATCCAGGACTGGGGCCTGGAGCTTTCCCACTTCCCTCTTTCCTGCCTCTGATTGGGAACAGTGAGATCAGATGTCCCAGGGAGCGGGTATCGTGCCAGGAGTGGGAGTGAGAGGGGCATGTGTGATGTGTGTTTGGGATGGAGGAGGCAGGCTCAACAGGGCATCCACAGTGGCCAGATGCACGGCCCCCAATACCACCACTCTCATCCCTAAAGCCTTACACGCAGAGATGTCGGGGCCTCAAGGAACCTCAGAGATCACTTTGTTTCCTAATGCCCCATTTTAGAGATGAGGAAACTGAGGCCCAGTGTTTGCATGCCTTGCCCAAATTGGCAGAATCACTTCTTTTTATGTACTGCCATCAGGGAGGGGTACCAGCTTTGATTTTTCATCTTGTCTCCAACGCCTGAGGGCTGGTAAGTTCTTCTTCACGTCTGGCCTTGATCTTTCTGGCTGCTCATTTCTTTCCTCTGGTCAAACAATGCTTCCTTGTTGCTTCCTATCCCCACCATTTCAGCTCCTCAGGCCTGGGGGACGGGTGAGAAACTGGGTTAGAAAGGAGCCCCCCCCCACCCACATGGGCAGTGTTCCCAGCAGGGGAATCAGCAGCTCCTTCCAGAGGCAGGATGTAGGGGCTATTTTTTTTTTCTTTTGGTAAAACCAAAGGCTCCTTGTTGCTTTTGTTGATGTATTTTTGTTCCTCCCTGAACAAAAAGCTGTGGTTTTTGAAGGGGTCCAAGGCTGGAAGGGGCAAGGTTGCTTGTAGAAAGGGGGAGCTGGGCTTTCAGGATCTCTGGTCTATTCTGGCCCTGGCTCTGCCTCTGGAATGCAGCGGAGGCAGGAGCAGAGTGGGGCTGTGCCCTGGCACCAGTGTGTCGGTAGCAGGGGCCTCGCAGCTTCTCAGCATCCTCCCTGCCCTTCTAGTCCTTCTGAACAGGAAGGTGACTCACAGGTCTTTAGGGCAAACCCCAGAGAGGCAGAGGACCCTTCTCCTGCATCCATGTGGGTCATTATCTACACTCTTGAGACACCTGCTTTAGAAAAGTTTTAGGGAGTAGGTGGCTTCTGATTGTCCGCCTGCCTTCTGACCCCCAGAGGGTCTCTCATAATGACCGAGCGTGGGAACTGGTTGGGGTTGAAAGATAAAGTTCTTTGTTCGCCACCCACCCCGCCAAGTGCCTCTTTTTCCAGAGTTCTGAGAGCTAGCCGTGTGGACTGGGGTCCATCTGAGAGAGAGGTCAGCCTGCCCTTAGATGGCCAGGCACTTGGGGGGAGGGGGAGTGCACTGGGCGAGGTCTTTGTACTTGACACTGAGCATCAGTTTCTTTATCTGTAAAATGGGCCCAATGAGAATGCCTGCCTTTCCTAACCCAAAGCCTTGGGGCAGATGAAGGGAGAGTGGACATAGGATACCACAGGGCACACACCAAATCAAGGCACTTGATGTGCCCGTAAATTCTCCCAGAGGCCTGCAGCCACACTGCCTGATTGCCCTGCGGGTCCCTGTTCTTTCCCTCATGGCTGCTAGATCCCTTCCCCTGCCCCCCCCCCCCAGGCTTTCCTTCCTAGTGGACTTGGACTGTCTGCATGCCTCTCTCTTCCCCAGAGCAGCTGATGCTGCAGTCAGAGGTGGGGAGGGGCGTCAGTGGAGGGCCTACTGCCTGGGGTAATGAACAAGGGGCTGGGTGCAGCCAGGCCCATGGAAGGGACAAAGAACAGCTCTGCTCTGCACCCAGCTTCAGGTAGGGTTGGGACACCCAGTTCTTCCCACCCTGGGCCCCCCCCCCCCCGTTACCTCACTGTGGCCCAGGCTGTTGGTGGGGCTGGGGTCCCAGTTGGGGTGGTAACCCCAGGGCGGCCTCTGTGCCCTGCATTGGCTTTCGCGCACATCCATTCATCCCGACTGGGGTCTGAGAGTAATGGGTGGGGAGAGCTTCAGCCTGAGGACAGAGAGGGAGAGGAAAGGTAGAATTCCCAGCAATGGTCTCTGGAAGGAGGTCAGATCAGTTGCAGCCCTTCTTGGAAGGCAGTCGTGTGGGTGGGGGAAGGGCACAGCACCCGCCTTCGTGCGTCCTCCCCCCTGAAACACACCCGAGGCACCTGTCTTCCTCACTGACACTGTCTGCGAGGATCCTGCATTCACAGCCTCCTGGTTTTGCCCTCGTGGGCTCCCCTGCAGCTGAGGACAGGCTGGCTGTCTGCGCATCTCCCCCCACCCCCACAGACTCTGTGTCTGCCCTGCACTGCTGCTCTCCAGCCTGGAGCTGAGGATGGGGTTGCTATGGGAACCTGAAGCGCAGTGAGCAGGGGGAGGGAAAAGGCACTGCTGGCTCGCCAGGGCCGCCAGGGCCAGGGGCTGTGGGGAGGGGACAGGTTTGACCCAGCAGGAGGAAGAGATAACTGCCTGTCTTCCTCTGGTCCAGGGTTGGGGTCCAGGAGGCGGGCTAAGAGATTGGAGGCTCTGGAGCGCCTCTTGAATTTAGTTAATCTGATGCAGGATTAAAACCTCCCCTCCCCCCCTTCCCGCTAGATTAAGCTGTGTGAACATCTAGGCTGGTCTCCCCTTGCCTACTGACGGGATTGGTGTTTTGGCCATGGGGGGCTGAGATCTGGGGGTCATGGTGGCTCCAAGGGGAAGGTGAAACACCTCACAGTCCCATCCAGAAGCACTCGCTGCCTATTGGGGGAGGGGTCTCCCAGTAACGTTCTGGTGCAGTGGCAGAGACGGGTCCGACTGGCCCCCGTGTCTCGGAGCCGCGCATTGCTGCGGAGGGCCCGTGTCTGCATTCTGCGGTTGTGGACGCTGTAGGAGCCTCGGAACTGCACGTCAGCCGCCCGCGTTGGGCTTTCCTTGGGCCACCGGAACTGGCATTCCATTTTAACCTCGTACATTCAGGCAAATGGGAAAAGCCCAGGTTTGCAGACTGGCTGCGGAGCACATGTATTTGCCGAGCCTGCCCGCCACCCTTCCCCACCAAATGCTAAGCGGCACCATCTCGGAACGGGCCAGAGCTGCCCGGGAGGTCTTCCCCTCGGTCTGCCTGCTTTCAGGACCTCACCTCCCTCCTCTGCCACCGATGCTCTCCTCACCACATCCCCCACCCCGTGACACCCTGGGAAGGGCTCTGATTTGGTGGGAGGGCCATCTCTGAAGCCTTCCCTCCTAGGACCTCAAGGCCAGCCAGTTCTGCTAGAGATCCTAACTTGGATCCCTCCTGCCGTTCTCTTTCTGATCTCCAGAAGCAGACTCCCAGTGGACCCTCCCTTTTTCTCGAGCTGCTGAGGAATTTTGAACGGAGCACCTCAGCTGTGGGTGGCCCTGGCTTCCTGCAGCTGGGCCAAGCCTGGGGCGTGGACCCGTAGCCTTAGCCCTGCATTCATCCCCAGGCCATTTCTGTTGTCAGCTGTAGGCACCTGTGTTTATTTTTCCTCTTCCTCCCTCTGCTGGGGGAGCTGAGGGCCCGAGCTGAGCCCACCTGGGAGACAGGACCCAGGTGGGGCAGTGGAGGCTGGGGGAGGGGCACAGCTGGAATCGCCTAGGTCCAGGTCAGGAGGAAAAAGGATTTGCTAAAGTCACCCAGGGAGTCAGTGGCAGGGCCAGAGCCCAGCACTGTGTCCATTGTAGTCACTCCTCCCCCACCCTGATTTAGTTCTGCAAACCCCAGTCCTACCCTTCACAAGTGGTGGCTGGGGTGGGGGGGAAGTCACGTGTTCACAGGTAGCTCTGGCTCAGGGTGGTGACCGTAAGAACCTCCCAGCTTTGGTGAGCGCACCGTAGGGCAGCTCATTTCCGGCTCTAGGGCATGTTGGGCAGGCCAGCCGGGGTGGAACATGCCTGGAAGGCAGCGCTCCATCTCTTACCTGAGGACAGCCTGTGACTCGGGGATCTGCAGGTGGTCACGGTTGTGGTGAGGTGTGGTCACCCAGGGCTGCAAATGGCCAGACCTCAGCTCCTGCTCAGAGAGGCCACTCGCCAGCCCCTGAAATATTTGGAGCCCATGTAGACCCGCAACCATTTCACATTCCAGCACATTCCCACAAACCAGTGACTCAGGGCTTCCTCTCCTTTAGCTGGTTTGCTGGGGGCCTTTGGGATGACCCCGTGGGACGGGACATAGGAGACTGGAGTTCTTGTCTTGGCCCAGCTTCAGTGCCTGGTGGGACATTCACTTATCCATCACACGTTTGTTGAACACCAGGTTCTGTTCTAAGGAGTTTGGGATAAATCAATGGACAAAAGAGACCAGAAACCCCTCACCTCATGGAGAAGTAGAGAGAGGACAAGAAACCAATGTGATGGGCGCCTGGGTGGCTCAGTTGGTTAAGCGACTGCCTTCGGCTCGGGTCATGATCCTGGAGTCCCGGGATCGAGTCCCACATCGGGCTCCCTGCTCAGCGGGGAGTCTGCTTCTCCCTCTGACCCTCCCCCCTCTCATGCTCTCTCTCTCTCTCATTCTCGCTCTCAAATAAATAAAAATAAATAATTAAAATCTTTTAAAAATTATAAAAAAAAAGAAAGAAACCAATGTGATAAATGAGTTAATTATGAAATCAGCTAAGTGCTAAGTGCCTGGCACCACAACACCGTTTCCCCCTCTGGGAAATGAGGGGATACAACCTCATGATTCTGGTGGTCCCTGTGGGCCTCGCTCCAAGGGCTCCCCTGGCTCCTGCTACCTCCAGTCTGGCCCCCTTTCTGGGGAGCAGCCTCCTGGTCTGTCCCGTGTCTGGAGATGGGAGTGTTTGGTTCAGGATGCTGGGCCCTGGGGAGATTGGGTACAAATTTATATGCCACCATTTACTGGCCCCGTGACTTGGCCACACTGTTTAACCTGTCTGACCCTCAGTTCTCCCTTCTGTCAAAGCAGGAAAATAGGGCATTTGTGGGGATTTGGTGAACTAAGACGCTAGGCAAACATCAACCTTTGTTAAAGTGTTATCTGTCAGTTGAGGGCCTCAAGCTGATTTTCTGACGTCAAGCTGATTTCTCACCTACTTCCAGTTGAGTTAGACCTTGTTAGCCCTTCCAAATACCACCCTGGATGTGTGCATTTTCTCTCTCACCACCTCCTCCAGGAAGCCCCCCCGGATATGCATGTCCCATTCCCCTTTACTACTTTTTTTTAAAGTTGTTATTTTAATCACCCGATGCTCATCACGACAAATGCACTTCTTAGTCCCCATCACCTTTTTCACCGCCCCCCCCATAACCCTCAGTTTATTCTCTAGAGTTAAGAGTCTGTTTCTTGGTTTCTCTCTCTGTCTCTTTTTTTCCCCTTTGCTCATCTGTTTTGTTTCCATTCCCCTTTACTTCTATCTCCACATCCCTCCTGCCCTTCCTCTGCTTGGTTGGTCTCTGTTTCTGCCTTTAGCTGAATGCTTTGTTCTGGCCCATGCTCATTTTCTTTCTCCCCAGTCTGGCAGGGCTATTCCGGGTGGCCCAGGCCTCTCCACCCCCCTGCACGCTAGATTCTAAGGCATGGGTTATTTCCAAACAAGGGTCATCTGAAACCCTCAGACACTGTCCCCAGGGCCTCCCATTGGCTCAGGACAGTTCTCCATGGTAGGCCCACCCCTCAGGCCTAATGCATCTTCCTAGCTCGGCCCTGGCCAAGTCTGAGACATAGTTGCCTGCTCTCAGCCAAGCCTGGTGTACATCGTGGTCCTGCTGCTGGGCTGGGCAGGGGCTGCCCACGCACGGGTAAGAGGAAGTTTCCAGGAGAGTCAGGCCTGTGAGAAGCCCAAAGATTCCCGCCCCTTCCCCAGAATGACCTCTGCCCTTTTTTCTGTCCTGCAGACACTACCCCAAGCAGTCCTTCACCATGGTGGCTGACACCCCGGAAAACCTCCGCCTCAAGCAACAGAGCGAGCTCCAGAGTCAGGTGAGGGGGTGGGGCGGGCCCTCTGGCCTGGCAGGGAGGGAGGGCTGTTGTAACCCCTGGATTTGGCAAGGGCTGCTTCCCCCCTCCCCCTGTGGTTACTCAGCGAGGCCAAGGTGCTGAAATCCTGGCACTTGCCCTGTCTCCCTGCCCCCACCCCTGCGCCTGGTTACTTCATATTTCCTGACTTTGTCAAAGGAGTGGAAGAAGTGGGTTCGAGAGCTACCTCTGCTCCAGGAATCTCTTGTGGGGCCTCTAAAGCCTGCCTCCTCCAGGAAGCTGTTCCTTTCTCCCTTCTCTCCACTCCCTCCCCACCCTCAAAGGAGGGGACTCACCTCCCCAGGCTCAGGCCAGTCTGAGGTCAACCCACCCTTTATGGCCATGTCTCCGAAGCTCCTCCACTCTGCAGAGGGCAGGCTGCAGAGGGGGCCTCGCCCTGGGGACCTGTCCGACCTGTCTCCTTGGGCCTGATTTTTCTGGAGCACTTGCTTTGTGGGGAATGGTGCATGCCGCTGCAGTGGGGAGGAAATGGGTTCCTGCCCCAGGCACGACTTAGTCTTTAGGGGACAGTGAGGAATAAGCAAAGAGTCCAGAACCCTGAGCCCCAAACAGGTCACTGTGGCTGGAGGTCTGGGAGGGCTTCTGGGACCAGCCTGGCCTAGACTGGGGGTGCTGGGGGAGGGTGGGGTGGGGCTTCTGCAAAGACCCCTTGAGGGACTTAGCCAAAGTGGGCAGGGTGCCCAGGGCCGGGGAAAATGTTGCAGAGGACCCCTCTCGGGCCATAGAGGGGTATCTCTCCTGATCCCTCTGGAGTGGGGTTCCTGCTCTCGGATGTTAACATGACCTCTCTGGGTCCCTGTCTCCTAGGAGGTCCCGTGAAGGAGAACCAGCCCTGTGCTCTTTAGTGTCCTCTCGTTGACTTCTGGCAGCTGTGAGGGTGCTGTTTCTCCCGGGGTACAGATGGGGAAACATGCCCAGAGACTCGAGGGGACTTGCTAAGATCATATGGGGTAGCAGTAGGGCAGGAACACTATTAACTGCTCCCATCTTGAGCGCCTAATGCCCTGGGCATTTAAGTGCCCTCAGTTCACAAGCCTGTGCAGTTGCAGGATCACCCCCACTCTAGGGAAGAGGGAAGGGAAGCCCCTGACTTGGAAGGCCAGTTTGTCTAATTCTGAGACTTGTGTTCTTTCCAGTTTTCCACCCAGCTCCCTCAGGAGAACTTAGCTCTACCTTGATAATAAACACAGCAGTTCCTGGTGCCAGTAAGAACTGTTACAGCTTAGCAAGCGCTCTGAGTTACCTTGCCTCATTCATCCTTGACCCCGCTCTGGGGCCGTCAGGTGAGGGAACTGAGGCTTTGCCTGTTGACACGCACAGTGAATGAAGTTTCAGGATCTGGACTCTGGTTTTTCCACTCCCAAGTACAGTGACCTTGACCATGTACAGTCCCGGTGAGGTGTGAGGTGCAGGCTTCCTGCGTGCCCCACAGCGGCAGGGAGCAAGTAGGGGAAGCTGGTTTTTCCCTTGGCGGCAGCTTAAAGCTGCTAGCCCGGATGCTGACCCTGCTGGGCGTGAAACCCGCAGTTCGGGGGAGCTGGTATGGATACCTGACCTCTACCCCCTGAGGGAGGCAGCGTGGTCCAGCTGGCAGGGAGAGGGGCTGAGGCAGCCCTGGGGTCTGGGCCTCATCTGCATGGGGAGGATATTAGCCAGACCCTTGCCAGCTGACGACTTTCCCGGGACCCCCCATCCTGGAGAGGGCCCCCTGAGGCCAGAGGTGGAGGGGGCTTCGAGGGGTGTGCAGGCCACAGCATCCAGGGCGACCTGTACTCACCCCACAGCTTGAGAGGGGCAGTCAGAACCCCAAGTGGTGGGGGCCCCATCAGGAGGACCCGGAAGAAGAGGTGTAGGGAGGAGACGTCAGGTCTTTGGAAAGGTGCAGCTCCCCGAGGTACGAGAGTGTGTGCACACACTCAGGCAGAGGCAGAGGCAGACACACACACACACACACACACACACACACACACACACAGCCCTACTCTCAGGAGGAGAAATTCAAACCCTGTTAATTCCCTTAGCTTTTGTCAGTCCCACAAAAGCGGGGTTGTAGCCCTTTTTGCCCCTGGAACCAGCTCCCTGAGGGGCGGGGTCTGGAGGAGGAAGCAGCCGGGCTCAGGCTTCCGAGGTCCCTCTGCCCCACCTCGGCTTGGCTCACTACTCCCCTCCCCGGGGCCTGGCCTGCTGCTCGCCTCCCAGGCCCCTGGGCCCCTGTCTCTCAGGCAGGCTGAGGAAATGATGAGGATGGCAGTCATCCTCCATGAGGTCCTCACCGAGGGCCAGGCCCTGACCTCACAGAATCCTTGCAACCACCTGATGAAGGAGAGATTTTTTTAATCCCCATTCTACAGATGGGGACACAGCTTTAGAGAGGCCATGCCGGTTGCCCAGAGCCCAGTGACAGAGGCAGATTTCAAGCCCTTTGCTCTTGCCAGTTGCGTAGCCTGATGTGGCCAGCAGCCAGCCTTAAGCTCTCACCCATTGGATGCACAGTTACCAAGGTGGGGGGGGGCAGAGAGAGAGAGAGAGCGCGCGCGCGCGCGAGAGAGAGAGAGAGAGAGAGAGAGAGTGTGTGTGTGTGTGTGTGTGTGTGTGTGTGTGTGTGTGTGTGTTGGAATGCAGATGCCTAGGCTCCACCCAGGGGGTTTCTGGTTGGCAGTTCTGGGCAGTGCCCAGGAATCTGCATTTTGACTCCCCTGGTGATTCTCATGAGCCTTTTGGACTGGATTTGTGAGACTTAGAGCCAGGCTTGGGGGGCAGGCAGGAAGCTAGGTGGAACTGACCTGAGCTCACCTTGCTCCGGCTCTGGGGGTGGGGGGACGCGTCATGGAGTCAGGGCTGTGTTGCACTGAGGATACCGCTCTAACCTGAGTCCGGCTCCTGGGGCCTGGCAGCTGGGGTAGGCAGAGGGTGGAGGCCAGGGTCCTGCCTTCTTTGCAAGCCTGGGTCTGTCTTCCTTTTCCCTCGCCCCCAGCTCTGTGGTCTGAGCCTGGCCGGTTTCCTCTCATAGCTTTTTTCCTCCCTGGTAAAATGGGGACAGCACAGCCCCGTTGCCTGGAGGTTGGGGGCTGGGCTGATGCACTGAGGTTTGGAAGGGCTGAGTGGGCCTGGCCGGGGGTGGTGACAGGTTCTGGTTCCTGTGGCTGCTGTGGGGGCAGGGCCGGCTAGAGCAGCCTGTGGCTGGCGGGAAGGGAAGTGGGAGCCCCTGCCTCCGGTGCCCCACCCCCCACCAGGGTGTCGCTTGGTCTCTTGCCAGGGCCCCTTCCTGGCCTGCATGCGTGTGTCTCAGCCCTCCTCAGTCTCTGGAAGCTGCCAGTGCTATTTCAACTTTGTTTTCCTGTGTCTAGATTGGTTCCCAAAGTGGTACTTTGGGTGTCTGGGACACCTGGAGCCTCCCCTGTGGGGGAGGTAACCACAGAACTGACCAGAAATGACCCTCTGGGTGGTCCTGCCCAGGCCTGGCTGAGGCAGGGAACTGGAGGCTGGGGCCCAGCTGCACCCCCTTCCCAAGGCAGCTCTCCCTTCCCCAGCCCCAGGCTGAGTAGAGGCAACATCTTTGGGGGGGGTGCTGAGCGCTGGGGGGTGTCTGTGTGGCCCCCGGAACTGACGCAGAAGTACAAGAAGAGGGACACCTGGGTGGCTCAGTCGGTTAAGCGTCTGCCTTCGGCTCAGGTCATGATCCCAGGGTCCTGGGCTCGGGTCCCACATCGGGCTCCCTGCTCAGCGGGGAGCCTGCTTCTCCCTCTGCCTGCCACTCCCCCTGTTTGTGCTCTTTCTGTCTCTCTCTCTCTCTCTGACAAATAAATAAATAAAATCTTTGAAAAAAAAAAAAAAAGACAGGAAAATCCTTTAAAAAAAAAAAAGAAGTACAAGAAGAATGCCTCTCTCATTCTTTCCCCCATTGTCAGACCCCGTGGCGCTGTACAATCCCAGGCACAGGACAGTGTGGTCTGTCCCCAGCCCTGCAGGCAGCATATGGTGTCACTCTGACCTAAGCTGGCTGAAGGTCAGATCCTGGGTCTGCCACACTAGCTGTGTGATCTGGGGTAAGATATTTCACCTTCCTGAGCCTCAGTGCCTTCATCTGTAAAATGGGGATTATCTTTCTCCAAAGGCGGTTGCAAAGATATAGCATATATTATGTAGTATATATAACGTCATATATTACAGAGGATATAGAGGATATTAGTATATATTAGGCATTTAGAACAGTTCCTGGCATAGAGTCAGCGCTCAGTAAATGTTGACTATTTTTTATTTTATTTTATTTATTTATTTGAGAGAGAGAGAATGAGAGATGGCATGAGAGGGGGGAGGGTCAGAGGGAGAAGCAGACTCCCCGCTGAGCGGGGAGCCCGATGCGGGACTCGATCCCAGGACTCCAGGATCATGACCTGAGCCCAAGGCAGTCGCTCAACCAACTGAGCCACCCAGGCACCCAGTAAATGTTCACTATTAACTATTCTCTTGGAAAGGAGGGAAATGGAGCTTGGGCACAATGAAGCTGGGGAATAGACACAGTGACCTTTTGCTGATTGCTTCCAGCGCTGACCGCTGACCGTTTTCATTCGCTCTCCTTTCCATCTGTGTCTGTCTTAATTTTCAAGCTGATTTCTTTTTTGTTAGAAGGGGGTAAGTTACATAGTATGTGGGCACAGCATATAGTAGGCACATGGTAAGTGGAAATGGTTGGCACTGTATTTTTTTCAAAAAACTTTTTGTTTTGTTTCATACTGGTTTATTTCGGAGAAAAAAAATTTTTTTTGAAGTCATGATCTTTCCTCTTTATGTTAGGTCAGCAAAGCAGTGACTTTCTAAATTGTGCGCTCTGTTTGATATTTTGTGTCTATTCAGTTCATTCATCATTCATGCAACAAACATTTGTACCTACTTTGTTGCGATAAGTAATGAACAAGACAGACCCAGGGAGTTGGGTGGTGTTTGTTGGGTGGGAGGAGAAGCATCAGACCTGGCCCTGCCTCAGGAATTGTCAGGATGGGCGGCCCAGGCAGCTCCCAGGCATGGAGTCATCCGCCCCCAGTGCAGAGTTGCATCCTGCCCCTACCGACAACCTTGAATGACCTTGGGTGGGTCCCTTCCCTCAGAGACGCCCCCCACCACCACATCCTGCTGAGCCGTCCCAGGTGAGGGCAAACACTCCTGCTTGGGTGACCAGAGAACCCTGAGGGAGGGGCTCTAGGCAGGGCCCTACCCCCGCTCCTGGCTCTCTACCTTTCACCTCTGCCACCCACTCCAGCACCAAAAGGCCTCTCAGAGAATCTCCCTCACCTTGATTCTTCATAGTTAAGGCCTGCAGGTACTTAAAAGTGGTCACAAACTCCAGAGCGGGGTGGGTTTTTAGAGATCAGCTGGCCAGTCCCCCCCACCCCCCACCCCCCACCCCCCGCTCAGGGGATCCAGAGGGGGGCACTGACTTGCCTAGTGACATACAGCAGTGAGGTGCTAAGCCCAGACCTCCCTCCATCCCTTCTCAGTCCCCAGTCCACCCCAGCCCCGCCCTATCTGGCTGCCTGTGCCAGGAGTGAAATGCATTCTCCTTCCCCAGCAGGGAGAGGCAGTTCCTGAGCCTGGGAACTAGCTGACATCATTGTAGTGTCGCCTTGGCAATTACTCCCCTGGATTAGGGGCCTGACCCTAGCAAGGCCAGGAAGTGGAGGAAGGAGTGGGGGTCTGGCACTGGTTCAGCACTTTAATGTTGACAAAGCACTTCCACACTTGCCTTTAGCCGCAGGTGCGGAGCCCTGCCCTGCTTCAGGATGCTCGGGGATACATTTTGCTGTGTTAGAGCCACTGTCTGTAGTTTACGCCGCTGACTGGAATGGATGGTACTCTCCCCATTTTACAGATTGGAAATGGAGGCTTGAGGGGTGACGTCAGTTGCCCAGGATCACTTGGCAAGTGGAAGACTGAGCACGTGTTAGGACCAGCTCCCTCGGGCTCTTTGCCCATGCTTGGCGATGGGAAGCCCCCTCCCCATATTTTAACTGATTCCCATGACAACCCTTTTACAGATGGGGAAATCGAGGCCAGAGGCCTTGGATTTGGGGCTTCTGCATCCTCTCCCTGATGCCCCTTTTCCCGAAGGGTCTCCCTGCCCCCGGCACTAAAGGTCACCACACTGTTCCAAGGCTTTCTGGAAGAGCTGATGCTGGGGGCAGTTCTGGGCCCTTGGGGTGGGTCAGTCCTTGTATTTACTTCATTAACTTCCAGTCTCTTGGGAAATAGCACATCTAGGCCTTTGTTTTCAGTCTGGATCAGAACGAAGGAGCCTCTTTTAAAAAATAAATAAACAAAGGAGCTTCTGAAACCTTTTAGGATCTAGAACCCCATAGGTGGGTAAGCTGGGCTCCAGAGGGTGAACAAGGACCTCTGACCCCTGGGCAACGTGCAGAGGAACTGACAGGCCTGGCCATGGATGCATACGTGGGTGTTGTTGGTCAGGTCAGGGTGCCGCTCAGCCCCGTGGCCAGGTGACTCCTGACAGCTGCCTGGGCATCCCGTCCTGGAAACTCCCAAGGCCCAGGGCCTTGTGTCCTGGGCTGACCTGCTTCTCGGCGAGTGCAGCCCCCCTGGAGGAAATCCAGGCAGCTGGTGGGGCTGGAACAGCTGGCTGGCTGCTGAGGGGGGGGGGGGGGGGGGGTGAAGTCTCTGGAAACAGGGAACAGTTCTCTGTCCCATGGGCATTTCTAGCCTCCATCCTGTTCTTTAAAACCCCCAGGGGAGAATAAGATATTTTTCATATTTCAATTCCATTAGCGTTCGGGAAGTTCTTTCTTAGGTCTGACTTGAGTCCCTCTGGTGCTTGAGTGTCCGCGAATTTCTCAGGAGAGGAGGGCAGTGGTGGAGTGTAGGGTTCTTCCCTGGATCTTGGAGCCCTGTTCCGAAGTCCGGTCTGTGCCCCCACCGACGTCATCCCCTCCCGAGGTACTGACCTTAGAAGCGGGCCTAGCAGGCTCCGGGAAGCCGCCGGGCCTGTCAAAGGCTCATTGATGGAGCCCTTCCGAGTGGCTGTCTCACCAGCGTCCTTTCTGGATGCCAGCTTTGTGCCTTGGCACAGCCTTCACTCAGCTGGGCGCTTAGAGACTCCTCCGGGTTCTCGGTGGGTCAGGCCACATCCTGGCGAGGGTGAGGGCTGGGGCAGCCTTTGGAGCTCTGGAAAGAACCTTCCTATAGCTTTCACGCAGGATAGGCCAGTGGTGAAGGGTCAGGAGTCAGGCAGACAAGAGTTAGCACCCTGGTGGCTCTGGATATTTATTGCCGAGCTTTGTGACCCTGGCAGGGGGCTCTGCCTCTCTCTGGCTCAGTTTCTTTATCTGCAGAATGGGGCTAATAATAGAATATAGTAAGACTTAAGTGAGATAATTCATGTAAAGCACTTGGCACTCAGAATGCACTGAATATGTCTTTGTGGGTTATTGTTAGTAATCAAACACTTTTTGGCTAAGGCTCCTGCTTTGAGTTCGGGGGTGGGCAGTGGATGTCACTGCAGGGCGATTTCTGGTCAGAGTCTTCCTCCTGGCTGGTGGTTGCATCAGAGGTGGCCACAGGCTGGGGCCACCTCTGCCGCCCCTGTGTTGATGCTACCCCCTCTTTCCCGCTTCATCCTCCAGGTGCGCTACAAGGAGGAGTTTGAGAAGAACAAGGGCAAGGGCTTCAGCGTGGTGGCAGACACACCCGAACTCCAGAGAATCAAGAAGACCCAGGACCAGATCAGTAACGTAAGCTCCCCTGCCCGCCGTGGGACCCACATTGCGCCCCCCCCCCCCCCCCCCCGCCCCCTCCCTGCCGGTCTGACAGGCACGAATGAGGCCAGCTCTCTGCTGCCCCAGCTCTTCTGGGCCTGCCTGGGTAGCAGCTGTTTGAGCAGAGGGAAGGAAGGGTCTGGGGTTCCCAGATGACTTTTTTCTGTGCACCCCCATATTCCCCTGTTCCACTCTGTGCCCACATGGCATTTCCACCATAAAAGCACTCAACTTTTGTACAGGGAGGGCCTGTGTGCCAAACCACTCCCCACCATCTCTAACGTGCCCCCCCCACCCCAGCTATGGTGCGTGTCAGGGTCCAGACGGACTGTTTTGTCTAAGCATAAAGGTCATAACTGGGTGGCAGGGGTGGGGAGGGGCCAGCTCCCCTCTTGTCGGTCTCTGGGTGCTGATATTGCAGTATTTCCGCCCTCCTTTGGCCTCCACCCCCACCTCGGCTTGCTCTTCCTTCCTGTGTAAAAACCCTGGCTGGCTTCGCCGGCCGGCCCCGTACCCCCCGGCTCGGCTTTCCCAGGCTGGGGATGGTCGGCAGTGTGTGGCTAGGCAGCACGGGGTATAGAGAGTGGGTGGTAGAGCGAGGGGCCCGGGGCACCTGTGGCCAGGGAATAGGCATTGGTTTCCTGCTTGGCAGAGCTACAGAGCAGCAGCCTGTGTATCTGGGTTTGTGGGGAAGCTGCCTGGGGAGTTTGGGGCACGTGGGGGTTGGAATACTGCTGTGAGCCACAAGCACGGAACCTAGGCTGCGGGACCCCATGGCACAGGGGCCTGGGGCACAGAGTTGCGGTATGTGCCCAGCCAGCCTCATCTGGCGGTGGGGGCGGGGGGGTGTCCTACAAATGGAGGCCTGAGCAAACAGTTGTCCTTATGTCTAGAACAGAAAGGAGTTGGCACGTTGCCTGAGGTCACTCTGGGCGGAGGGTCTGGGATTCTGGTGGGCCACCTGTCACCTGTCCCCGGCCTCCACAGACCTCCGCATGCCTCCCCCACCCAGCCTCTTTGGTGGCACTGTGCTTAGAGTGGGCTCCACAGTGGCTCAGGTGGATTTCAGAGCCAGGGCCTAGGCCAGGAGAACCAGTCAGGCCCAAGACTGTGGTTTTTAGACTTTGTAACTTACGATATGACGTACATTTCACATAGTGACCCACCAAACAGGCCTGCTTATTTATTTAGAGAGAAAACCAAATCAAAACTTTCATCAAAGAGTCCTTACTACTTGGAGAGCATTCAGGTATTTCTGTTCTAATTATTTTGTGAAGATGCTTGCTGTAGACTTAACTAAATGGGTAACTAAGTGGGGTTTTTTTTTTGAAGATTTTTTTTATTTATTCTTTTGACAGAGACACAGCGAGAGAGGGAACCCAAGCAGAGGGAGGGGGAGAGGGAGAAGCAGGCTTCCCGCCGAATAGGGAGCCCGATGTGGGGCTCGATCCCAGGACCCTGGGATCATGACCTGAGCTGAAGGCAGATGCTTAACAACTGAGCCACCCAGGCGCCCAACTAAGTGGATTTTGCAACAAGGCCATTGACCTACAGTTTGAAATCTGTGGCAGGAGGAAATGGAGAGCTTCCTTTGGGCTAGGAGGGCTCTAATCCACACACACACACACACACACACACACACACACACACACACACAC